CTTGTGATGTGGCTGTGTATGCTAATAGGATAGTCAAGCAGTACATGCCTTCATGAGCTCATGGGTAGAAGGAAGGATTGAGCCTTCATTCCTGCAGTTGGAGATAAAGGAGGTGGAATGGCATTGCCAGACATGTCATGGACCCAGGTGATGGTGGTCCAAAGCTCTGTGCCTCCCTGTGTCTGTGCTAAGACACAGAGAAATGCAAGCAGCAGGAGCAGAACTGCTCAGGCTGGGACAAGTGATGGAATGGCACCTTAGCACATTCCAGTTACTTAGGAATCCCAGGATGGGAGGAGAGGGAGTTTATTGTGGCTTTCATAAGCAGATTTGTGATTTAGGCCTGGTTGAACATGTGATCATTGGGCTGTAACCTTCTCCTAAGTTACTGGGAGGAAATCTACAATATGAACCGTGCTTGGCTTCCTGCTGTGGTTGTGTGATGCAGGCTACACCGGGGACTTGCTGTGCTTAAGGTGCTATGAATTGGATCCAAGCATGATTTAAGACAATTTTCTTGTAATTCACAGTCAAGCAATGGAATAGATCTGTCTTCTGAGAATCAAAAGTATTAATAAGTCCCTTAGACACAATTTGGAAGCAAATGAATACCTGCTTGAAAAAAAAAGATTTTTTGCTGAATTTGAGAGCGTTATTTTACTGTATGGAGATGAGCTCAATTAGCAGAACACATGAATTAAAACAAAGCAGCTTTAGTTGCATTTTGGTTAACTGTTCTTGAGACAAGAAAGCTCATCTGGTTGTGAATATGTGGGAACGAAGATTATAAATGGTGCAATGGGGCTTAATCTTTAGGTTTTGTATTTCTACAAAATGGCTCTCATACAGAAACATTTCCTTACCTACAGCTGAAATTTGTCACCATGGTAACCTTCTGTGTTTGGAGGGGTGGGATGCTCTAGGCAAATATGCAGCTACAACCTCAGAAATTGTTACCCAAACTGAGTTTCTTTCTCCTTTCTTTCTTTAACATCTGTGAGATTCGTACACACTGGACACTGCTCATGTAACCAGATCAGAGAGAGGCTGTATGGATTTAAACACTTTTCTTTTTTTGAAAGGAGAAGTGTTTGGGGCAATTTTATCCCTTATTCAACTGGCTCCATTGTTCTCTGGCTGCAGCTTCAAACCAGTTTGGCTCTCCAGGTGTTGGTGGACTGTGCTCTGCTCCGATACCTGCAGTGTCACCCACTGTTGCTGGGGAAAAGCAGAAATCCTGAACAGGGGCCCCAGCAGTTCAGCAGGGGGAAACATACTGTTAATTTGCTGGCCTCAATATGCACACAGCTCTATTTTGTTTTCTTTGACATACATGTCTGAAAGCAACTTCAGGCCTTAAGCTTTTATTTAAAATTTAAAAAAAAAAATTATTCTGAAGAGTCAAAACCCCTTCACACAAATGTAGTTAAGATTTCTGAAATTAAAATTACTAAAGCTGTGGAGAACCCTTGCCCACAATATTGTGTCAATGCAATAATATTTGAAGGACATGTCAACATCTTGATCATGTAATGTCTGACTTTTATTTCCCATTTATATGTCAAACTTCTTTACACTGCTTGCCCCTGTTCTATTTTTGGGTTGTAGGAAAATGGAGGAGTTTATGATTAAAGCTCTGGACAAAGGCTGTGCAGACTGAAGTTGCTATTAGTGAGCTACTGACTGCCACTAACTCTTGACATAACCATGTCTGAGTCATTCCATGTCTTTCTGCCTTAGGTCCTTGTCTGTAGACAGCACCTTCTTTCTTCTGCTTTTGCTTGCTGTGTGGGCATACAGTACAGCAAGAGCTGGTGTCAGGGATGTTCTTAATCTGTGCAGGAGAGTCTTGATTTTATCCGAGGCTTCTTGGTGTAGCTAATAAACAAACAGTGAATAAAAAATATTAAAGGGAGTGCAATAACAAGCAAAGTGGTGACCCTACCTGTTTATTTGCTTTTTGAGAAGCTCCTGGCCTGCCACAGGAGCCCCCAGTTGAAAAGTCCCTGTCATCTGAGTATGCCTTTTTTCTCCCTGTGACTGATGTTTACATTTTCTTATCTTTCCCCTGTAGGGTGGAGCAATCAAAAACATTCCTTCATGTTAAGGCAGGATGTGTTTGAAAATGTTGTCTGGCCCAGGCTTCCATGCCTATCTTTGCTCCTTTGAGGCCCCCTGCTCATTTGAAGCATGCCAACTTTAAGTAGGAAGATCAAGTTTAACAGCCTCGGAGCCACTGGCAGGCAGAAGGAAGAATCCTTCAGGGCAGTTTGAGCACTAGGTCCACTTCCTGGCATCTAGAACATGAGGTTGAGCTGACTATTAACATGCAGCCACCCACCCCACTGCTATCCCAGTAGGGACTGGGGTAGAAAGCATCATTTTTGGGATTTTACAAGGCAAAAGAATATGGAGCACCAAAAATATTCTGTGTTCACAGGTTGCCATCCACCATCTTCTCTCTTTGTCAAGAGCCACAGCATGAAAGGGGAAAAAGGCAGATACTGAGGCTGCATTAAGTTCTTGGTGCCTACCTTCTTTCCCCTCTTCTGCTGTGCACACTCCCCCTTTTGTCTTGTTTAGGTTGGAGTGGTGGATCATGAACAGACTGTTATTAGGAGAAGGACCTTGCCATTCAGATGCTTATAGACTCATCTCCCAGATTACTGACATCCCTTGCATCTGCAGAACTGGGTAGAGATATTTGTAAGAACGTGTTTTTCATCTAGAGATTTTTGGAGACATCTTTCTATCAGATGTATTGCACAAAATGGCTCCCTCCAAAGGAGGGAGGATCTCCCAGTCAATTTCCCCAAAATTTAAGGCAGGGAGGAGGAAGGTGAAAAGCAATGATTTCCAAAATTATCTGAATATTTTTTCAAGTAACTTAGATTGTTTGCAGGTTCAGGTTGGCTTAGGGGATGAATGGAGGTTGTGTTGGGTGCCTGTTGCATTCAAATAAATTGCTCCTTTCCCCTGAGCTCCATCTCCTCTGTGCAGCTAAATCATGTATGTTTGCAGGAGACAGTATGCTTGTGTTTCTCCCACGACCCTGCTGGCTCATTAGTGTTATTTCTGGAGGTCTTGTTTCCACAGTAACAAGCAATTACCATTGTTCCTTGGAGTGCCAAAGTTACCACCAGCAACGCAGAGGAAGATGCGTTGTTCTCTATATTGGGATAAAATGCCTTCATATGTCTTGCTCTTCACTGAATGCCAATCCTGACGTAGGTCCTGTGCAAATAGCACACTCCACCCCCTGCCAATGCTGCTTTTGCTGGTATTAAGACATGCCAAATTCTGAAAAGTTCCAAAATGATCTCCTCTGGTCTATGGCTACACTGGTAACGACAGGGTCAGGATTTCAGCAGCAGGATGACTGTACCAATGGTAGCTCTGGTAGGAATATAAATAGAATAGCTTGGAGGCAGTTCTTTTTGCAATTGTGCTTAGCTCTGTTCTAAGTAATGCTGCCTAGTGACGTCAATTAAATATACTCTCTGTATTCACCCTATAGCTCCTACCAGTACTGTGGTGGAGCTCCCACATAAGAGTCTGCTGCTCCTGTGCTGGCAGGATGCTGTGTCTGTATTGCACAGTCCTTCATCGTCCCCAAGGGGTAATGTGTGTGCATCAGCTCCAACCCTTTCTTCCATCAGCGGCTTCTATTTCATGTTTACCTTTACATTGCACACAGACTGATTCAGCCAAAATGGTCTTCTAACCCCGCAGAATATTCCCTGAATTTCATGCACATTATAGAAAGAGTACGCTGCTGGGAAGCTGATGGAATATGGGCTTTTGTAAGTGAGAGCAGTGGGATACTGGAATGCTGAGGCAGCTGGATCGAGTTTCGTGGCTTGGTGAGTTTTTATGGCTTTCAGTGACTCCAGTTTCCAAGTGTGACTACGTATTCTGAAAAGCTCTGGGGCTCCGTTGTAAGCTCTGAGCTCCTCTTAACAGAGTTTTCTTGTGAATGGGTCTATGTATGGATCTACATATACACACCCACTTGTCCAAATGACTAATAGCAGGTGTTGGAGGGAGAACACAGCCTCTAGCTTACATAAACCAAAGCACAAGGAACCTTGCTTCAAGGAAGCTGAAGCAGAGAGATCAAGAGAAGCATTTTAAAACAGATGAACTGCCTTTTGTGAAAGGTCTTGGAAACATTTGCACTAGAGATTTTTAAAAGCTAGAAGACACTTTCGTATCAAGTCACTGTATGAGTGTACAAGGGTGGCAACACAAAAAGGGTGCTGATTTGACAACTACCAAGATTGTGCTGCTTTAGATGTCCTTAAGGAAATCAAAATCCAACAGTAAACAGTCTCTTTATAGGATGGAGAAAGGTATAGGCAGAAACAGTTGTTGATAAGGTCCTTCATTCTTTGCAAAGATTGTCTGGGAAGTGAAAAAGAAAACGATCACAGGGAATGAGTTACTCATGATGCAGAATAGCCGTCACCTTGATGTGAAATGAAGGTTGAGGAAGGAGTCAAACACAAATAGAAGAAATGTGCCTGTCTATCACATATCAATTCTAAAGGCCATGCCTAATTTTTAAGTATCTCTTAATTAGTAGAACTGAAATATTAGAAAGTCACTCAGTTTTCTTGTGGGCTTGCCATGAAGGCAAGTCAGCACCAAAGAAAGGTTAAAAAAAATATCCTTAGGCATGTGAGAGTAGTCCTGCCTAATTCAACAAACTTCTCCTCTTTTCTGTTGCATCCACCTAAAGCCTTGGATTTTAGCACTGTATGATGGGAAAATAAATAAATAAGTAATAATAATAATAATCTTATTTTCTACATGTAAACCAGAAGCTGATTAGTTCTAGATGACAGCTTGGGTGGTTCATAATGAGCCGAGGCGTAGTTTTGTATTGTAAGGAGAATATTCCCACCTCAAAAATAAGCCAAGGCTTTGCTCTTGATGTGGGCTCCAGGGCACGCCTGGCGCCCCAGCCTTGCAGCGGGTGTCGTGCCGAGCTGGCCGGCAGACACTAGGTGGAAGCCTTGGGTTGCAGTTCCACTGCAGCTGCTGACGGCAGGAAGAAGAGGACTTGTGCTTTCAGAAAGAAGAGCTTTTCATTTTCTGCCTGCCTTCACATGCTAGAAAGGGAAGTCCAAGCTCTTCTGATGCGCCATGGGGTGAGCAGAGGAATGGTGGAGAAGTGTCAGTCCCATCCCGGGTCCTCCCTGCAACAGGATCTTGTGAGCAGGGCTGTGGTGGGAGCCTTGAAATCTCTGTGTTCTTGGGTGTGGTTGGGTGGCAAGATTGATGTAATTCTTCCTGATTTATTTTTAACCTCATTTATATATTCTGATGGGGATAATTTTGAGATTCTTGTGAGTGCATAGAAAAGAGTTAATATTGGGATGAAAGTGAGTACTGATGAGCTGCTTTATCTTGCAACAAATTCTGGTAGAACCAGCTATGATAAAGTGCATGCTGAATTTATGATGATTGCTTTTGACAAGGCCTCCAATCTGAAAACTATTCCAAATAGTGAGATTTAGAGTTAGTACAAAGAGTGAATCACAGGTTAAGTGAGAGCTAGAGGAAACTTGAAATGTTCATTTGAGAGAAATGTCAAAGTTTATGATTTCAAGGTGTCTTGTTACTTTTAGTGTTAAAAATACTGTTTTCAGTGTATTCCTAGAAACTAAAAATTAGGAACATTTCAATTAGATACTTTTAGAAAAATAGCTGATATTTTATTTTAAAAATTAGTGAAGTTTTGGTATCGTTTCACATATCAGTTGAAATGCAGAGTTAGGTTATGCCAAGTCAAGTCTCATATGAGGCCACGTTATGCAATCCTACCAGTAACATAACATACCATGAATATAATAATTAAACATTGTTATATAATTTAGTACAGGTGATATTTTATATTTAAAGCAAGTGATTTTTCTATGAAGTAATGAGTTTGCTATGAAAAGCAATAGCAACTTTATTTGTCTGTGCTGAATGAAACAATTTAAATTTTTGCAATCTGAAATAGAAATATTCTGGGTACTAGTTAGGGACCAATTGTCTTTAATATCCTGGAAACATGATTCCAGGCTAATCGAGTATATTGAACACATCAATGGCTCTCATTATTAACTGAAGAACATAAAAAGAGTACAAGGGTTTTTTTTTATGTTAAAAAAATAAAAGGTTGCTTTCAAAAATAGTATTTTAATTTGAAAAAAAACTCTTGTATTTTTCCTTAAGGCAAACTCTTCAATATTGAAATTTTTGTTTCAGTCTCCCTTTATATAGGGATTTTTCATTTGTACTTAGTATTTTTTGAAAAATGTTGATTTTATCAAAGTGGTATATTCTGGTTGAAGATTGTTTCGATTAAAATTTTCGCACTGCTATGAGCTGTTATGACACTATCCTCCTTCACCCTCTGAGCTGTGGTAAAAGGGTGTGTGAAATTATTGATTTATCTTTTCTTATTTTTTTTTTTTTAGTGCAATGACTTCGAGAGCTTCATGGCTGTTCTGCTAACAGATGCACAATTGTGAAACATGAATATGGACTGCAAATCTCTACTGTCAGTCAGCTCCTCTTCCCCTCTGCATAACGTAATCCCTATCTCCACAATGCCTGCACAGATATACATTTGCAAAGATGTTTTTCTGGAGATAGCATGCACAGCAAACACTCCCTTACTTGTTCTCATCTCTAGCAACATTATACGGAGTTTCAGTTCACAGTTCCCTGTGTTCCCCCTCCTACCACTGAAATGCAGCCAACTCTGAGCTGCAGCTATTAAACATCACACAAGCAACACCACAAAACAGATTGTGGAAATTCACAGGAATTCACAGAAAAGCAACAAATTGACAGAGGTCTGGGAAGTGATAACAAAGGATCATAGGGAATGAATTACTCGTCATGCAGAATAGCCATCATCTTGGTGTTCAGGTGATACTAGGATGCAAGGGCAAGTTTTTGAGGGTGGCACAAGGAGATGTCACTAGGAGCAGTCAGGTTTCAACAAGGGAGATGAGCAGGTCAGCTTCCTTAAAACCACTGAGTTTTGTCAGCCTTTCAGAGCATCAAGGAAAGGGCTGAAGGCATAATTGCTTGGGGGTTTTAGAACTGGTCCGTTTCAAGACAGGTGAAGGCACTTTCAGGACATATGAATAAAACAAGATGGAGCAAGTACTGTATCTATTCCCACTTTGTATGAGTCTGAGAAAACAGCTGGGAGAAAGTTGGAAAGGTCTGAAGGAATCACATGTACAAAGGTATAAAACAGTGTGAACTGGTGTGATAATAGCTGTGACATGGCTAGGGAAAAGCTTCCAGAAACAGTGCATTTCTATGACAAGGTCATCTTCATGATGGCCTTAAGGGGAGAAAGGAGGAAAGAGGGGAAGATCTGCAATGAATCAGGGGAAAGAGAAATGTGTGTGAAGGTATGTAGCTCTGTGTGTGTGTGTGTGTGTGTGTGTGTGTGTGTGTGTGTGTGTATAGCACAGCAGGAATCTCATTCAGGTTGGAAAAAGCATTGCAAGTGTCTGCATCTCAGTTTGCTTACACTAGTGGCTTGAAGAGGGTACTTTGGCACAAAAACTGCACATGAATTCTTGCTGCTTTAGGTAAAGTGATGAGTGGGGAAGGTTGCCAGACACTGTCAGTGAGCATTCAATGGACAGCTAAGAAGAAACTGCAAAAGTCTGTTCCCAACTCAAGTTGCATAGCAACACTAAATCGTCAGATTGCCGTTATGTCAGTCCCTTACATTATCCCCATTATTGCATCCGGTTTTAGGAACCACACAGTGGGATGTTGCTAGCCCACTTCACAGCTGGATGTGTGACCTTTGTCTCTTGCTGAATGATGCCATGTAATTTGTTGCAAAGGTGTCTCAAAGTAGTACACCAGAGAGAAAAATCTTTGACAATCCATTAACACAGAGCATAAGGAGCAAAGGATGTGCCGGTGCAGCATGGGGCAGGAGAGGCAGATCAGGGGGCATCAATATCCTTAAAGAAGTCTATGTCTGCCAAACTTGTCAGGATGTGTGTTATCCCAGCACTTCTCTGAACTGAGTCTTCATTGATCCAGTTGAAAGCCTATATTAAGGGGTGAGCCACAGTTGTTCATGTGTTTCAAATGCTTGTGCTTGGTGTTTGGATCTCTCCTATGGACCATTGCTGCTGTGCAATTCTTACTTCTAGCCAGCTGTTTACTGTTTTTCAGTGTAAGCACCTTGTGAGCTGTTTCCTGGTGGAGATGCTGAAGTACTAAAGTAGTCGCAACATCATCATGATGTGATGTTTCAGACACTGCCAGTCTCTGAAAAAATACCTGGAAGTCTGCGTCTCTAGCAGGATGTTTCTAGTAAGTTGCATAATGTCTTTCCTGGATGTCTTGTGTAGCACATCATCCTCCTCCCTTTTTCATTCTGTTGCTGCTTCTTTTACTGGCACAAGATCCTGAAATGCCCCTGCCATCTCCTTCCAGCCAAGGCAACCAGGGTTGCTGGGTACCAAGGTGTTGCTGGAGTTTTAAGAATGCAAATAAAATGAATTAACTCCTTTACTGCAAACATCAGAGTGACATGGATTTAGAACACCAGGTGGAATGAAAATTACCTTGCAGACCTTTTGCACTGGATGATGGGGAGAGTGACTTGATAAGCAAATCATTCTCAGTGATACATCTCCTTTCTGAAGAGTGCCTGGTTGTAAACTATGCCAGCTTTTTCAAGATCACCACTGCAGATTATGAACTAGCAAACAGACCTCAGAAGGACCAGATAGACTGCCTGCTCGCTCTGTATAGAGTAATAGAATTATTCTGCTTCATTAAAACAACTGATGAGAAAACAAAGAGCCTCAAGATTCAGTTCCTCAGTTTCTGTGCCCAGAATGCAAAGCACACAAATGGCACAATACCTGGACTAGGACCTACAAGTCACACTTGCTTGATATCAAGGAGACTGAGCTTGGACAAAGTCTAACACAGCAGCTGATAAACATCCATGTATGACATTGCTAAGGGAGTTACCCTTAACAAAGGAACATCTCTTTCAATGTGAAATAGCTTAGCAGTTCTTACAAAAAAAGGAATAAAAGCTGTTTATCTGATTTTCACCTTTTTTTCTTTTTAGTACTCCCCTGAACTGCTGGATGGGACACTCCAAAAAGCTTATTTCCCTCTTCAGGAGAGAGTCTTCTCTCTCTTTTTGATGCATCTTGCTTCCCTGTGTGGATGAGGGATTTGAGATCATTAGTGAGACAGCAGGTGTTGGAGTGGTCACTGGCACCCACCAGCTTTGTAGCTCAGTCATCCTGAGGGCCACTCTAAGGAGGGATTTATCCAAGGGCTCTGCAGAGCAAATAAGATTTGTAGCTGCTCTACATGTGCTTGTGGACAGTCCTGGCAGTTCAGTGAAGGAGTCAGTACTGAATTTTAGACCGTGTCAGCCAGACTGAAGTGTTTTGTGTAACACTGCTGCCATGGACTATCTGGAAGTACAGATATGAGAGACTATTCCATGGAGCCAATTCATGTTTAATAATTAATATGGCTTTTCCTTTTTAACTTGGGTCTTCTAGTTTATAGTGGGTAGGGCTAAGGGTCCCCATTGCAAGGTGGAGGATTCTTTTGTCAGACTTTACACTATGGTCAGATCTCTGTAAGATTTCTCTACACCTATCTCTGTCAGTTTCAGTCTGTTACCAAGTACGATCTTTGTAGCACCTCAGCTTTATTTGACAATCTGAGTTTCCTATCACCTTTGAGAATAACATTTGCAGGTTAAAATGTGCTGAATAAGGACAAATGAGAAATGCAAAAGAAGTGAAAATAGAGAGGTTTTAAAGAAAATCATCTTCTGTCAGCATTGTTTGCATGTCTGCTCAATTCTTATAAACATTCAAAGGCTTGAGTTTCCTGTTGCTATTATATGTGGAAAACAAATGTCAAGACTGCACATGAGTACTTGCCATAAATTAATATTAAATGTGCAGACACATTTCATCTCAAAGTGCTTGTACACTCCTCTTGTCAGAAAGCAGAATAAATGATGATCAGAATCACTACCTAGGGCTGGTTATTTCCATCTGTAGTTATGAAAATGTTTTACACAGAAGGTCAGGATCATAGCCTCCAATTTTGCAAATGGGACACTGTTCCTCAGTAAAGCCACTTGTCTGGCAGCCAAAGAGCTTCCGTCTCTCTACCGAACCTGCAGAGGCAAGTGCAGATGCACAGATTATTATTTTCGCTTTCGTCCCTGACTACCCCTTTTAAAAGGAGTCACTCACCCTTTCATTTATTGCTTAGGACGTGAGGTTGTCCATCACTACCCAGCAGAGGCTGCTGTCCATCCTGTGAACTGGAGGCCTTGTAAGCATGCCTTGCTGCTTTCCTTCAGGTCACCTCTGCTTCTGCCTTCAGTGCCCCTCACTGCAAAGGATCTCTTCTCCCGTGCATGTCTTCTGGGCTGGACCTTCAGCAAATGTCCTGGCAGAAGAGTCCTGATTGTGTGCTTCAGTCTTCTGTATCTTTATTTCTGTTCTTTTCTTGCTCTCGGGGGCCTCTCATTTTTTAAGGCTGTCAGACAAAGATTTGTAGTCCTGAGTTCTCTCTGCTTTCTTGTGTGTGTTTTCATCCTGACATTCCCCCAGACTATGCAGAGGTGCAGGAGGGTTTTAGGGTGAATGTGTTGTTTCGTGACAGAGAAGATTTTGATAATGCATTTTACAAGGTTCCCTGGGAGGATGAGCTTGGTAGTGGCTTCAAGAAATGAAATTCATTCAGAAGGGACTTGATCAAAATGTTTGAAGTAATATGTATCAGAAGAGGTCTTGTTAGGAGCACCTTTTCTTTGTGTCTTTCCAGAAACTAACAAAGGGCCATTTGGAGAAAAACTGGCAAATGCAGTACCTGGTTACTAGACACAGTGGTGAATAAACCATGAGGTGTGTTGCCACTGTATGTTCTGGGGGCCACAGATGGAAGTAAAAAATCCCAGTAGCTTTATGGAGTAAGCCAGCTTCCAAATTCCTAGGAATCAAAATGTTTCTTGAGCTGCCTTGTACAACTTCTTCTCAAGAGCTCACAAGGGGACACCAACAACCCTGATTGTCCTTGCCCAGGGACAGTTTCTTGGGGCTTCTTCCACTCTGCCCAGGTCCCAGGCCCTCAGGCCCCCAGAGCCACCAGCCTCTGTCCCAGTGATGCTGCAGCAGGGATGCTCTCCAGCTCCCCACAGCTCTGCCCTGCCCAGTCATGGCCCTGCTGCTCCACAGAGGTACCTGATGCCATGAGATGGAGTTGCCCCTGGTGCCTCCCAGATGCTTTGCTTCTCAGCTGGGCTGTAGGGATGTCCCTATGGAGCCCCCAGCCTTCCTAGGGCCCTGACACTTCTTACACAGTTTTGTAAGGCTGCAACCTGCTCTATATAAAGTATATACTATCACATGTCATAGTCAGTAACATTTCTAAAGTGGGTGATTCTCTCCCAGTATGCTGCTTTTATCAAAAGCAATGGAGTTAATGCCTGCCAGGATACAGAACTTATTGCAGAGACTGCAAATGCGATACTTAGACTAGTAAGTCACTTTACCAATGCTCTTCCTCTTAAAAGTGATCATTGTTAGAAATCATTGATCTTTTCCTTGTCCTCTTTGTACGACAATATCACAGCTCCAAAATGGAAAGCCTTGCTGTGTGAGCAGAGATACACAGATCAATAACCCTTCTTGTGACAGCAAGTGAAAATGTGTGGTGCAAAGGTAGGCTTCCACAGTCCTGTTACTAGGAACAGCTTGGATGTAAGCATCAAATGTCATGGCAGTTGAAATGGAAAGATGTTTATGGAGTCAATCTGTCTTCTTTGGAATTTAAGCATCATTATTTGAAGGACAGTTGCAACATTTCGTTATAAAACTTCTGGAATTTCTAGGGAGCAGGAGGGGAGTGAAGCTAGAAATATCTGTCAAAATAGTTGTATCTCACAGTGTTTGTGTACATTCATTTCATAAAGGCAGGTAGTGACCAGTGGCAAAGGGAACCCAGGCCTGAAGTTGTGTCAGGGGAGGTTTAGGTTGGTTATTAGAACACAGTTCTTCACCCAGAGGGTGTTTGGGCACTGGAACAGCTCCCTGGGGAAGTGGTCACAGCACCAGCCTGACAGAGCTCAAGAAGCTTTTGGGCAATGCCCTCAGGCACAGGGTGTGAGTCTTGGGGATGGTGCTGTGCAGGGCCAACAGTTGGACTTGATGATCCTTGTGGGTCCCTTCCAACTCAGATTATTCTTTGATTTGGTGGTTCGGTAGTCAGAAGAGGCCAAGGGATCCATGCTTATTGAAACTGCAGGCTACAATATCCTCCAGATTTTACAGCATATATATTGAAGCTCAACCAACCAAAGTCTCCAACACCAAAATCCATGAACTAAAGCTTAGTCTTGGTATAGCCCAGGTAAATGTGGTTCTGGCTCTTCCCTTAATGAGATATTTGAGCAAAGCATGTTGTATTCATTGTGAGGATTTTCTGGCACCATGCAGGACAGATGGACAGATTCAACTTTTTTTTTTTTTTAAAAAGGAAATAACTATTCAGACCAAAGAGCTATTAAAATATTGGTGTCCTGACTGCCATCACTTCATTGTGTTGGGTGGTGGGAGTTTGTTCCCTAGTAGAAGATTATTCTTGTGCTTTTTGGTGTCAATGCCTAGGTCAAATACATAGCCTGGCTGCTTCTCATTCTTAAGAGGGGATGGCTGGGCTGCCTTTCTTGTATGCTGCTTCATGATGGTGGCAAATGTGGGATCTGACAGTGCATCAAGTCTGAGGAATCCCATAGCAAACCTCCACACAGAAGATTTAACTTGTGATTAAAAGCAAGACACGGCTGCATCCATATTAACCTTCTCTCTGCAAAATCCAAGAAGGTTTCCCAACTCCCTCCTCCCCAAACCTCCACCACTTTTCCTTTTTCTTTGATTTCTCAGATAAAAATAGGGTGACAGAGGGACTGTGGGGTAAGCAGCTGGAGTAGAGCGGAGCCAGTTGCCATAGAAACCAATGAGCCACTTAGCAGCACTTGCCTTCCTTCTTTGCCTGTGGATTTATTTTTTCCTCTTGTTCATGGAGGGCCAGTGTGGGGTGGCAGGAGAAATCCCACACCAGCTGAGACTCCCTGCCCCTGGGGCCACCTGGGATGCCACTGTTCCCTCAGGATCTGCCTCCCAAATGAGGAAGGGGAGAGGGAGGATGGACTTCAGATGGAAGAAGGGTCTGAGCTTCAAGACTTGTACATACGCTGGGTTTTTCCCCCTCGCCCTGGCATCTTGTTTTCCTTTCGTGCTAGATAGCACTTGGTTGGTGCCCCAAATATTCAAAGTGGACTCCCCAGGCCACTTGTGCCCTGCCCTGTCTCTAAATATGGCAAATAGCAGCAGTTGGGTTTTATGCTGTATTACACCCCAAGCTTGAGTAGCAAAGACAGTAGTTTTGAGGTGAACATATGGGTTAGAAGAAGAGAATATTCCTTTCTTCCCATGTCTTCCTTCCATAATGAAAAATTAACATTTGGGTGACTATTTAAAATAGATGCCCAACCTACTTTTGGTTCACATGGGGCTAAAGTTGCTTTAATTTCACTGCATATACATTTCTCAGTGGGGAAAACCTATTTCCTTGAAAGATCAGAAGTGCTAAATGGAATACCTGAAACATATTAAGCTATAATGTGGCTACTCCTGATTTGGGTTTGGAGTGCTTGATATTCAGTAGTTTTTTTCTTTTCTTTTTTTTTTTTTTTTCCTGATACTGAAGAGACATACATTGTTAGGTAGCACATACTTCACTAAGTTTAAAAATAAACTTAGGAAATATTATCACTGGCAGAAAAGTACTAGATTGGCAGCTCTTGGAGAATGAAATCTTCTCTTCAGCCCTGAAGTGACAGAGCCAATTTTGGTAAGACCTTCCCACACTGCTCCTCATCCTTATGCTCCAAATGTCGCTTCCTCTTAACCCAAGTCATGTGAAAGAGCCCCAGCTGCTCACACCTGGATGCAAACCCCAGGTGTGTGCTGGCAGGTGCTATTTTCTTCCTCACTCTGTGCTATGTGGAAGTGGTAATGGGAAAGACAGTCATGGTTGCAGCAAGTACAGTGGAGCTGTAAGGAATTTGCCAGCAGAACCATGCCTGATAAAGCTTCCTGATGTAGTGATGCTCCTTTAGGTTGCATGTTACCAACATTTCTGAAGCTTGGGAGAAAAAGTCTATTATCTAGAAATCATGGTAGATAAAATTAAAAGCAGTTTCTAGAAATTTGGGCTGGATAGTTTTCCTCTGGGTAGCCTGAAATAGGAGTTTTGTGTTTGATTTATCCTCTGAACACGAATGGAGGACTGAAAGATAATAAATGGCATCACACAGCTCTACATACAGGGAAGTATAAATGTTAAATAATGAATCTTTATGACATACCTGCAAAGTCAAATATATTATTTAACTTCTGCTCATCAGAGAAGGCCAGGCAAGACATGTGTGATGGAGTTAGAACTGGGTCAAAGGTATACCTGGGCAGACCTGAATACATCCTTCACTGAGAAGTGGCCTGGATATCCTAAGGGTGCCATTCTGCAGCTGCTTAGAAGAGGTCAGCTTTGACTCTTGATGCTGACTCTTAGTATTTACTTGGCTGTGCTACATCACTGACACCAGCAGGACCTAACTATGGTCTAAAAAGCTGTGCTGCTGGGTGAGTCTGCTTCAGATCTGTGCAGACCCGTAAAGGGAGCATGGCAGATGCATGGACAGGGTCATGCTGTGTTCTGGTGTTGTCCTGGTTGGCCCAGCAGTCTTTTTGGAGCACTTGCTGTCAAAATAATGCAAAACAAACCTTGGGGTTTTCTTAATGTGTCACATCAGTGTCATTTATTTAGTTGCCCATGATTTCATCTCTCTTCTCCTTTTTGCCCAGGGTTCTGTGCAGTGGCTCACGTGCAGTTAACTGCTTTCCAGCAGTTAACTGAGACTGCAGTGCAAAAATTTGATCTGAATTAAAATATATCCCCA